CATTGATGGCAGTCTCATAGAACCAACAGATCCTAGTGATCCACTTATGGAACATTGGCTAAGGTGCAATGATTTGGTGATTACATGGATGCAAAAAACCATGGCAGTTGACTTTAAGTATAGTATTACCTATGCTGAGACTGCACAGCAGATGTGGACTGAACTCGAGCAACATTTTGCTCAGCAAAATGCACTTCGAATCTTTGAGGTCAAGCAAGCCATCATCACATTACTACAAGGCCAAGATGCTATGAACACTTATTTCTCAAAGTTCAAGACTCTCCTAGATGAGCTCATGAACTATGAAGCTGCCCCCAACTGTAGCTGTGGAGGTTTGGAGATTGTGGCCCTCAGTCAGCAAAGGGATTGGGTAATGAAGTTCTTGATGGGGTTAAGTGATTCATATAAAGAAATTAAGGCATAGATTCTGTTAATTAAGCCTTTCCCCAGCCTCAATGAAGTGTAGTCGATAATACAATAGGAAGAAAAGAGGAGGGAGATATCTACTGAAGGATCTATCAATGAATCAATGGCCCTCTTCACAAAGAGAAATTTCAGGGAGAAAGGGAGATAGAGCTTTTATGCACAAAAAAGGGAAAGATACTATTGCACTTTCTATAAAATGGCAGGGCACTCACTTGACAGATGCTTCAAAACCAATCTAGATAAACCTATTTGCAGCTACTGTCAAATGCCAGGACATCTGATGGAGAAATGCTTCAAACTTCATGGCTATCCCCCAAGTCACAAGGTGAATGGGAAAGAAAAGAGCTCAGCCAACCAAGCCATCATGTCACCATGTGTTGCACACCAGGTTGAAGGGAACAAAACCTAAGTGGAATTAACTCAAAAGCAAGTTTCAAAACTCATGGCTCTCCTCAAACCTGCTGGCAGTTCCCAAAATCAAATCCGTTCAACTAACAATACCAAGAGTGTTTTTACTTCCACCTCTACTGATGAAACTATACACCAGTTGTCTAGTATTTCTCTTTGTGCCATAAAAATTTACAAATGTTTCAAAAGCCCCATGGATCATAGATACAGGGGCAACAGATCACATGATCTATTCAGCCTCCCTTTTTTCATCTATTCATACTAAAGTTACTTATTCCATTTCCTTACCTAATGGAGACATGGTTCCTGTCACTCACATAGGAACCATAAAAATCTCAGACACTTTAACATTGCAGGATGTCTTATGTGTGCCTAGTTTCCCATTCAATCTCATTTCAGCAAAGAAGTTGACCTAAGCTTTAAATTGCTATCTAATTTTCTTTTCAAATTGTTGTTATATTTAGGACCTTACAACTTGGAAGACGATTGGCATGGGTGAAGTCAAGGAAGGATTATATCATATGAAGCTTGGAGAACTTCCTACCTCAGCCTTGATTGATTTCCAAAATAATTTTAATAGGCACATCATCAGCTTTTCTTCCGTTTCAGCTGTCACTAGTGACTTTGATGTTTGGCATTATAGATTAGGACACACATCCTATTCAATTCTGAATACTGGTGGTGATGTTCAATTCTCAAAAGCTGTTAATAAAAAATCGTGCTCTATATGTCCATTGTCTAAGTTACACAAATTACCTTTTCCCACAAGCACTCACAAATCTGAAAGGTGTCTTGAATTGTTACATTGTGACATATGGGGACCCTGTAATGAAATTGGCAGTGATGGATCAAGGTACTTTCTGACCATAGTTGATGAATTTAGTTGGTGCACTTAGGTATACACCTTAAAGCTAAAGTCCGATGCCACAGTTGCACTTTAGAATTTCTGTGCCATGGTTGAAAGGTAATTTGACACCAAAATAAAAATAATTAGGACAGATAACGGGGGGAATTTAATATTAAAGACTTCTATCTCAAAAAGGGTATCATCTACCATAAAACTTGTGTTGAAACTCCTCAACAAAACGTCGTGGTTGAAAGAAAGCATCAACATATCCTCAATACAGCTAGGGCACTCAAATTCTAAAGTGAAATTCCTTTGAGGTATTGGAATCATTGCATCCTCACTGCAGTGCATTTGATCAATAGAATTCCCTCCATTGTCCTAAAAGGAAAAAGCCCTTATCAGGTTTTATTCAACAAAAAACCTTCATATAAACATCTAAAAACTTTTGGTTGTCTTGCCTTTGCCACTACCATTGTTAATGGGAGACATACATTTGATCCTAGAGCTAGAAGGTATGTGTTCATAGGTTACCCTTTTGGAATCAAAGGATACACTATGTTAGATCTCAAAACCAAAAAAATCTTTGTCTCAAGAAATGTTTTGTTCTATGAAAATGTCTTTCCATTCAAAGATAAGTTTACTGAACAAACCAATGACGATTCTGTTCCAGATTCCATTCCCCAAAATGAAGATGTTATAGCAAAATCAAATGGTTCAACAGGGATAAAACCTTCAGTCATTCAGCCTATAGAAGAGTCTGAGTAGAATTCTAATGATGAACCTCATGTTACAACTTATCATGACACTTTAGATTCTGGTAATACTGAACTATCATCAGATATCAATCCCACTCAATTACCTCGAAAGTCAACCAGAATAAGAAAAGCCCCAGTACATCTCCAAGACTTCATATGTCATCAGGCCACAACACTTCATCCATTCAAAGAGTCCAACGAGCTGAAGGAATCAGGTAACTATTACTCTCTCAGTGACTGCCTTTCATATGAAAAATTATCAAGTTCATACAAAACTTTTGCTATCTCTGTTACTTCCCAAACTGAGCCTAAGAACTACCAGCCAAAAACTCCCCAGAATGGTGTAGGGCCATGAGATATAAAATTAAAGCTCTTGAACTTAATGACACCTGGACATTGGTTAACCTTCCCCCTGGTCAAGAAGCAATATGATGCAGATGGGTTTACAAAGTGAAGTATAAGGCAGATGGCAGCATAGAGAGGTTCAAAGCAAGGCTTGTGGCCAAGGGGTACATGCAACAAGAGGGACTTGATTACCACGAGACTTTCTCACCAGTTGCCAAATTAGTCACAATTCGAACTTTGTTAGCACTTGCAGCCATAACAGGGTGGAATCTTTTTCAATTCGATGTCAACAATGCCTTCTTGCATGGGGAACTGGAAGATGAAGTGTTCATGGAGGTTCCACCAGGCTGCTATGAGTCAAACGCCAAAGGGAAAGTCTGCAAGCTTAAGAAAAGCTTGTATGGATTGAAGCAAGCATCACACCAATGGTATGCCAAGCTTTCTAAATTTATTATTGATCAGGGATATGGTTGATAATCTCAAGGTTTCACTTCATGACAAATTTAAAATCAAGGACCTAGGAGAACTTAAGTATTTTCTTGGAATTGAAGTTGCGAGATCTGCAAAAGGGATTTATATATGTCAAAGGAAATATGCCCTCGACAATTTGAAAGACTCGGGAACTATTGGATCAGCACCAGCAAGAGTGCCATTGGACCAAAACGTGAAGCTGATCACAGAAGAGGGAGAATTACTTCCTGAACCAACAGTTTATAGGAGATTAATTGGCAGAATTTTGTACCTAACGATAACTAGGCCTGATATATCATATTGAGTTCAGTTATTAAGCCAATTTATGGATTTCCCCCATGTTCCACATTTGCAGACGGCACAAAAGGTCTTGAGGTATATCAAGAGGTCACCAGGCCAAGGAATTCTTTATCCAGCAGACTCTCAGTTACAATTGCGTAGATATTGTGACTCAGATTGGGGTGCTTGTCCCAACACTAGGCGTTTAGTCACCGGATATTGTGTGTCAATTGGAAGGTCACTAGTATCTTGGAAGTCGAAGAAACAGCAGGTAGTCTCAAGGTCGTCTTCAGAACCAGAGTATCGAGCTATGGCCAATTTGTGATGTGAACTTACATGGTTCAGGTATCTATTAGAAGTTTTGAACGTCTCTCATCCCCAACCTGCTTTTCTCTATTGTGATAACAAGTCAGCAATCTACATTGCAACTAATCCAGTTTCCCACGAAAGGACCAAACATATAGAGATATATTGTCACTTAATACGTGATAAAATAATACGTGATAAAATTCAAGAGGGATACATTGTTACCAAGCATGTTTCTAGCAGGGAACAGATTGCAGATATTCCGACCAAAGCTTTGAGTTCTCAAATCTTTTACTCATGTTTGTTCAAGATGGGAGTAATAGACACATACTCTCCATCTTGCGGGGGGCTATTAGAAAATAATCAAGGTGATAACAAGGAGAAACCATCTGCTACCAAGAAGGAACCAGATGAGTGGCAGGGGATAAACAAACGGCCAGGCAGGACCACAATGAGGACCACAAGCCTAACCAAATGCAGAAGAATCTAGAAGACGATTGTTAGGATTTTTGTTGGAAATTTGTTGTAGAATCCGTTCCTTAGCATGTGCATTATCCTTCTAGAATTGTGTAAAATCTGTGTATATATTCTGCTGATGTTGTACATTTTAATCATCAAGCAAGATCAATACAATTATTCTTTTCTCTCAATTATTGCTTTATCATTTTATTACTTCATATATTTCATATTTAAAATTAATTGGACTGAATTTTGGCATCATAGCTCAATAGTACTAAATAACATTACTCGTGATAAATGGATACATTTATATGATAAGAGGAATGCTAAGAATACGTCTACATGGCATAGCATCCATTGTATTCAATTGGTTAACATAAATAAGTTACCATTAATCAATTGAATGTAATGGGCTCCGTGCACATATAGACACGTGTTTTAGCATATTCTTATGATTTTGGGTCTTAGAATGGAATAATTGTGGTGCTCTCACAGTACATTATTAATATTTGTTATCCTGAAGAAAATATAAAGAATTTTTCATTATTTCACTTGGAAAGGAAGACAGAATAAATTACATAGTTATTCCTTATTCTGTATCATGCCAAGAATGTTAAAAATAAAAAACACATATCAAGAGAGGAGGTCATTGACTCATTGCTCCTTGATCAGTTATTTTTCTGCAATAATAAAAATGATAACAATCAGAGTCTTATCATTTGTTTAACAAAAGGCTGAAGATGTGCCTTCTCAACGCACCATGTCATTAATCGGACTCCTTTTCTTGTCGAAGGCACTGAGCCAATAATGGCAACAGGGATGAGACTGGAACCCTGTATCGGAACAACCTGCACAGGAGGTCCCCACCCGTAATCAACCTGGTTAAACCCAAGTCTTCCCCATTCGGATATGAACATTGTCGTGTAAACAAGAGGAGGTGTGAACGGATCCGTTATCAGCTCACCGTTAACCCATTTTCCAAATTCATTTGGTAAGCCAGCTTTAGCCTTTTGAATCAATTTCACAATTTCAGCATTTGATGCTTTTTTTATAATCTGATTTGAAACTGTTATGGTCACTGGGAAGAAACAGTTGCCGTAGAAACCGACAGGCAATGGTGGATTCAGGAGGTGGCGACAATTTGCGAAAAACACCAGGGTCATATCTGTATCATCATTCAGATTAATTGCACGTGCTCGGCGACTCCACAGGCTGGCAGCTACAATTTCGAAGGAAGAGCAATTCTTGCCAGTTAATTCTCGAAAATTTTGTTTGAGATCATTGATTTGGTCTTGTGAAATATCTATATTGGCATGCTCCAGCTGATAATCGGGAATTGGGGGTGCTAGTGGCATATCGGCAGGCAATGAATTGGCATGAAAATGTAGTGAGGGAGGTGGAAGGAAGTCTCGACACCACACTGGATTGGTGCTGAGTTGCTCAACACCTTTAGCTAATTCTCCCACTGCATTCAGGAATTGGGCTGCTCCAAGTCCATCACAAATACTATGGCTAAATATGAGGCCAACAACGAATCCAGCACATTCGAATTGTGTTATCTGCAGAAGAAACGCACTATAGTTAAAGGATCCAGGGCTAGACAAGTAATAAGATGCTGTTCAAAAAATAAAATGCAATGCATATGTATGTATGTTCCCTTTTCACCTGCATTTGGACCAGTGGATCAATTTCTTGAGGAGGATCAGGTAGAAGCTTATCGAATGGAATAGCTGCCATATCATCAAAAAAATTTACTGCCTCCAGTGAGCAATTTGCCGATGCCTCTACAAACCAAATGCCTTCTCCAGAACATGCAACCTGAAGCTGGTTTTCTGCAGAAACATTCAGCCTCCCTGCCAGAGGATAGTACACAACCAAAGCCTTTGACAAGGCTTTGCATAGGACTTCTGCTGCCTTTGGACCATATCTGAATACGTGCAGTGTTCGAGCATTGCAGCGTAGGACTGGCAGTCTATCAATTACTGATAAATCGAGCATGCCTGATGGTGTTGGTTCTGAAGGTGAAACCAGGCTTCGATTTATTCTTGTAACAGAGAAATCCATGGAAAGAAATTTAAGAAAACTGGGTTTTACAGAGGACTTGGATCGTGAAACTCTAACCGGTTTCAAGATTTTATAAGGTATCTAACGTAATGAACCTGTATTGGCCTGCTTGGCTTAGAAGTATATATATAATCAATGTGGTATATTATATATAGCATATTGAGTCTCTGTTAATGTTCGGTCCCACAACTTACTTTACTAGCAAATATGCCATGTCTATGTTGCTTGTGGTCCTCCCACTTTATTTTTTATTTTATCTCCAGAGCATGAGGGTTAATGAAAGAAAAATAAGGGCCTGCGCCTCCAAGGCTGTGAACGTTGTGTTGAGGAAAACTAATCCTATAAATTCCCTGGACGAATGATGAATTTACATCTCAATCCTTGAACCCTTGACGTCAAATATAGAAGCAACAATTTTAACCATCCTTGAGTATTAGGGATGGAAAGCCACTTCTTTACTTGTAAGTTAAACTATTGGATGCGATTCTTTGATTATGAAATTTGATTGGATCTCTTTTACCTTACTTTTGCATATTCACAATGGAAAAGCTAAATATATTCATTAGTATCACAACTAACCATCTTCCAATTGACATTGAACTCATCAAACTTCGTGATAGTCTTAATTATCTTATTATATGTAATATGATAAGTGCATTTTTTGCACTTATTCAGAGCCATTTTACTAAGCTTTTGTGTCGTTTTATTATTGCATTTTACTTAACTTAGCTTATTTTTATCTTGTTTCAGTTTTGGACATGTTTCGAAGAAGATGGAAAAGGAAAGAAGGATAAATTGGCCAATTGATGAAATTTTGGGGACTAATATGCATTTGGGTAAAAGTTGAAGCACTACAATTGAAGTAATTTGATGACGGGGACCAAGATGGAAGAAAGAATGAAGAAAATGGCGAAAAAGAAAAGTGGAGAAAATTTAGCCTGGGCAACCGCCCATTTATTTTGTCAGGCAGCCGCCCAACCTTCAAGATCATTAATAGAACAAAAATAAATAGTCTGGCCGGCCGCCCATTTTGTACTAGGCGCTCATCCAGGCCATTTCGGGAAAAAAATTCTGATTTTCTAATTCAACTACAACTCTTATGTAAACGAATCTTGGGAGGTATTTTAAAATCCTAGGGTTGTCCAAAAGTGGGAGGGGAGATTGGAGAAGACTTTTGAGAGCAGAAAAGAGGTAAGAACGCGAAGATCAACTCCAAGAACACGAAGATCCAATTCAAGAATCGAATTGGTGATGTCGTTCTTTATTTATTTTTCTGATTTTCTTCTTCCCACCATGCTAGACTAGATTAATTATGTACTAGGATTAGATGAACTATGTAATACGATTTTTATTTTTTAGTTTTACATTCTTGACAATCGAAAACACGTTTTGAGATATTTGAATGATTTATATGAATTTATTTTTCTCCACAATTATATGCGCAATGATTGTGTGAGTTTGGTGGCTTATTTCATGCATTCGAAAGAAGGGGAATAGGTTCGACATATATAAATTATCATAGGGTCCGATAGGGGATAGAAATATACCGCTATGCCTTATGTGAATC